ACCCCTGCACTACCAGAGAGTGGCCAGTCAGAATCTGAGCTATCTGAAGTGGAAGGCGGAGCACAGGCTACGGGTAATCAACTTCTCCTTGAAGCCCAAGCCAGGCCAGGCCATAGCAGGGGTTCCGTGGGTTCTTTTCCCACAAACGTCCTCTGTGCTCCCTGAGCTGTCTGAGACGGTTGGGAAGTAGCTCGTGAGCCCAGAGACAGGAAGGAGACCTGCACCTCCAGCTCTGAGAAACCACCCCCTGGGAGACACAGAGCCCATTTCCAAGCTTTCAGCCTATGCTCAGGTCTGGAAGAAAGCAAGAAACCGGCCAATGCCCACACTCCAGTGTACTTCCCCTGACATCCTGAGCAACCACTTCCCAACCCTGTGCACTGCTCTAGCACTGCGATGAGAAAGCTTTGCATGGCTTTGCAGGTTCCTTGTGTTTCTCCGTGGTGGGGCTCTCCAGGGACCTTGACATACTTCTGCCAGCTATCCCTGACCTCCCCATCAGTGATGTTTCTAGGGACGGTGACATGTAGGGCAGTGTTGACATGCATCGGCAGAATGTGAACTGAGACCATTGAAATACTGCTGTTAGCTGCTCTCCGGGGGGCCTAACCCTCTTGCCCCTTCCTTTCATGGATGGAGCTGCTCTCCGTCTCCCTCAGCATAACACCTCCATCTTGCCCCTTCTTCAGTCTCATCACTGAGCATCTTCCCCTGGCAGGTGGCCAGCCTGAGAGCCGTTGCCATCCAAAGAGAAAAGGGCCTCTGGGAGCTGGTGGGCAGCATGGGCCTGCATGCACCAGGTTGTCCGTAGAAGCCTCCCCGACCTGTTCTGTCACAGGGCACACTGAGGGAGTGGGAGAGTGACTTAGGCATCTCTGCTTGTCTAATTTCTTTCTCTTGCCATCGGTACAGGGAACTGTTTTTATGTCAGCATGCCAGCAGGACCTCTGGACTCCAGCACTGAACCTACCGGGACACCCCTAAGTCCCTCACAGCCTCGGTACCAGAGGAGGGGTGTTGGAGATCAAATGTGTTCCAGCTCTTCTCCCCACAGCCTGGTCCTCAAGGATGTGGATGTGATCTTCCGTACCATTGAGCAGCTTACCATCAAGCTTCACAGACTCAAGGTAAGGAGCCTGGCCTTGGGTCAGAAAGCCTTCCGTCCATCACCTGGGACAGTTATACATTCACATAGTAAATGTTTTTGGGTGTGTATAGCTATGCGTATAAATGTGTATGGAATTGAGCCTAGGGCTTCATACATGCTAGACAAACATTCTACCATTAAGCTACATCCCCAACTCCGGAAGCGTGTGTCTTCACTGGACTCCTAGGCCACCTTCATCTTCAGCTTACCCTGCCACACCCTCTGAGCCTTAGCACTGGGACTCAAACACCCCTCCTGCAACTCTTCCAGGACATGGAGCTGGCCCATAGAGAGCTTCTCAAGTCCCTTGGAGGAGAGTCATCTGGTGGGACCACTCCTGTAGGCAGTTTTCACACAGAGACAGCCAGATGGACAGACCACTGTCTCTCTCCTCCAGCCAAGGAAGCCCTGGCCTCTGACTCCCAAACCAGTCAGGAACAGGGGTCCTGCCCTGAAGAAGGTGAGTGAAGCCAATTCCTGCATGTGCCACCTTGAGAGAATGCATAAGCAAGCAGTGAAGGGTGGTCCCATGACTCGTTCCCCCTCGAGGTGTAACCAACACATTCCCTCAGCTTCAGAAAGGGATCTTTGCCAGGCATATGGCGCACTCCTTTAAGCCTGCACTCGGGAAGCAGAGGCAGCTGGATCTCTGTGGATGAAGGCCAGCCAGGACTGCATGGTGTGAAAAGGGTGTCAGAGAGGCACCTCAGCTGTCCGTCCGTTCGTGCCTTCCACCCGGAGGCAGGGTCTGTGTTCACCGCTGGGCAAGCCAGGCTCACTGGCCCATAAGTTTCTTGGGGGTTCTCCTGTCCACTGTCTCTATTGCCAGAGACCTGGGGCTACGGATCTGCACTCCCACATCCAGGGCTACGTAGATGCTGGGGATCCCATCTCCAGCCCTCAGGTTTGCATGGCAGTGCCTATCCACCAGACTCTCTCGAGCCCCAGAAAGGGATCTTTTTAGGGAAGCCACACAGAGGCTCCCTCCAGATAGGGACCAAAACAGAACCCCCCCTTTTTTTTTTTTGGTTTTTTGAGACAGGGTTTCTCTGTGTAGCTTTGCACCTTTCCTGGAACTCACTTGGTAGCCCAGGCTGGCCTCGAACTCACAGAGATCCGCCTGGCTCTGCCTCCCGAGTGCTGGGATTAAAGGCGTGCGCCACCACCGCCCGGCTTAGAACCCCCTTCTTAAAATCCTTTAAGTGTATGTGGATACTTTGTCTGCATGTCAGTCTGTATACCACATACATGCAGTGCCTAAAAAGGCCAGCGATGACTTTAATACCGTGGAACTGGAGTTACAGCTGCTTGTGAGCTGCCATGTGGGTGATGGGAATTGAACCTGGGTCCTCTGAAAGAGCAGCAAGTGTTCTTAACTGCTGAGCCACCTCTCCAGCCCCCAGAACCCTCTTTTTATGTTGAGGTGTTCATGCACCAGGAGGGCCTGATTTTACCTCTGCTGCAGGTTCTCAGTGGCTCAAATCTGGATTAGGAGGGAAGGCCACTACCATGGCCTGACTTAAAACACTGACCTGTCTTGGTTTTGGAGGCCATACAGAAGTGGAGTTCTCATGGACCTGCTAAAGTCCCACAAGAAACAAGGATTGGACTGACAAGGTGGCTCAGTGTTTAAAGGCATTTGCCACCAAGCCTGACCATGAGTTCAAGCCCCAGGACTCACACGGTGGAAGGAGAGAGCTGACTCTTGCAAGTAGTCCAACTTGCACACACACTCCATACACATAAGTAAAATTATTTTCATACAAATAAAGGAGAATTTCTGGAGAAGAAAGCTTTGTCACCGACAGCTGGTGTTGAAGAGTAAGCCAGGGACTTGAAACATCTTCACAAACCTAGCCAGCTTCTCAACCCTCACCTTCCTCCCACAGGCTCCGACAGTGCCACAGATACAGCTGCATCACCAGGACCATAGCCATCCCAGACAACCAGAGCCTCAGCTTCTCCACTCTGCCAGAGTCTGGCCTGAGCCAGAGCACAACACTAGGAGACCCAAGCCTCCCCTTGAAAGATGCTGCAGAGGCCCAGGGGGAGACTTGCATGTTGCTTGGTCTGTTCACATTGGACAGAGTCCAGTTTCAGTGTCTCTTCCTATTAGCCAAGTCTCCATGGTTTTCATCTCCTAAGCATGCTGAGCACCACAGAACAGCCTCCTACAGTGATCGACCCCTTTACCCCACATAGCTCCCTGCATGTGTGGGGTGTGCTGTGTGCATAGTACCCTCAGGTGTGCAAGTCAAAGGAGGAGGCTCTTGTGTAAATGCACTTTTTTCCTCTCCTTCTTCCGAGGCCCGAGACAGCTGCGTGCCTGGCTCTCCTCTCTGTCCCTTTAGTTTCCTATAAATATGTCTATTGTATGTGCGTTTTTGCCGTTGTAAATAACGTAGCCGTTTTTCTGTCCCTGGCATGCTCACCAGTCAGAGACAGTTAGAGGAGAGCCAGTCAGCAGCCCAGCAGGGGTGGTGACTGTCTGTGTCCCAGACTCCAGCCCTGTCAGGCTCAGCTGAGGCCTTCTCATTGTCAGATGAGCCTCTGGGGAGCGGCTTACCTGACCCATGCCCACCCCTTCCCCACTTGCCCCCTAGAAACAAATACAGCAGGTACGGAACTCAAAACAGACCCTAAGAGAGCAGAGTCCCCGAGATACTTCAGGACCCTTCCCCAGGTTCTCCATGTCCTCACTCCACTCCCCACTGATGAACATACACACTGTGCTAGGTGTATATATACATATATATAAATATATATAATATATAAAATAGAGATATGGAAATGACTGTTTTGCTGTTAAAATAATGTATACTCTTATTTTCCTCCTTTCATGGTTAAGATTTTTTTAAAGAAAAGTTAAATATTCCTCCATTGTGGTTGTATGATTCTTAGACTGATAGAGGATGTTGGTTGTGACTGGTCAAGAATGGATAGAGGGAACCAGGAGAGGCCCTGCCACGCCATCCCACGCCAGGGCTTCCCACCTCTCCCAAAGTTTCAGGTGTGTACCTTCTCAGAAGAGGTTGGGCAAGTGACCCTGGCCCAAAAAAGATATTGTGGTTACTTCACACAAAGGAACAGAGATCTCAAGACCTACTCTCAGCTGTAAAACATGAAGAAAGATCACCTCACTCCCCCCATACCTCTCCTTCCCGTAGATCAGGATTAGCCATGGCTGTTGATCAAGTGTAGGGCTGAAGACAGAGCTTTAGAGGACCTGGCAGACGTAACTGGAGAAGCCATAATGAATGATCATGGTGCACCTTGACAGTGTTGGGACTCAGAGCAGTGGGAGATATCCCTGCAGCCAATGCTGAGGCAGCCAGTGCAGAAGATGGAGCTCTGGTAGGCAGAGGGGCTAGAGAAGAGGGAGGTGTCCTCTTTACCTTAGTTGGAGATTCCCTATAGGTTGGCATGGGCTCTCCAAAATTCAGTGGAGACGGCCTGGCAGCCCTGACTCTAGATGTCCATGATCTCAAGTTGCTGACCTGCCGTGTCTAATGTTTGGCCTTTGCTATGCAAATATGAATACAATGCCCTCTCCCTAGCCTCTCACAAGCCAGGCAACATGGGTTGGAGCTAAGCAGCAGGGAATGCTGGGAGATGATAGTTCCAAGCCTACCCCCTCCATCAGTTGTGCTGACGGACCCCCATCATCCTAAGGCTGTGTGTATGCTGGCAGAGATGGTCTGGGGGCTGCTGCTGGGACACTCGGGAGGTAGAGCAAGGGCCCTGGCTTTGTAGCCAGGACCTCAGTTCATCCCCCAAACAGAGACATGGTGTAATTCAGGCCACCACTCTGCCACGTCTAGCCAGGCAGTATGAACAGACACAAGAGCCCAAATGTTCCAAACAGTTCTGGAGAGATTTTCAAAGAATAGCACAGCAACAGACTATGTTATTGGTCCGTGGTATCTCCCAAGGACATAGGGCTGCCCCTGGAGGCCTAGGTAGCTGTGGCCTCCTCCTCCCTGACCTTGGCCTTCACAGGGTCCCTTGGCAGCATCAGTTCCTGAATCATGGTGTATGTTGGACACTGCGGGTCAAAGCAGTTTTTCTGAAAGGAAAAAAAGAACATTAACAGATTGAAGATTTGTCTTCAGGAGAAAACAATACCCTGAACAGTGTTAGGGCTGGTGAGCAGAGGAAGGCAGTCATGCCATTGCTAACTACAGAAAACAAAGGTTGCTGCATTGAAACAGGATCAGGACAATGAGACCTTCTGGAAATGGGCTAGGCACTCACCGCCAGGGACAGCCACAGCAGCCCCAAGGGGCCCTTGGACGAAGAAGTCCTGGACTTGGAGACCTGAACCTGGTATTGCACAGCAGTGAGGAAGCCTTCCAGCCCCACCTCTGTGATTCGGTTCCCTGAGAGGAGGCATGGAAGTGGCATCTGGCATCACATCTGGCAGCCTGGCCCCCAAGTTCACCAGGCAGGACTGACTTTTTAACTGGCCCTCTACCCCGTTCTTCCTGCTTCCCACCTTCCCCTCACTTCCCCTTCCCACCCAGCTGTCTTACTCCTGTCACTGCTGCCCTGGATCCCCCCTGACCCAGCACTGCCTCTCAGCTCCAGCCCCGAGGGTCTGACAAAACGATGCTCGGCTATTGGAGAATCGAGCACACTCCATGCTATGGCAGCACTCCTTAGCAGCATGGAGGCTGGGTAGTCCCACGGTAAGGGCAGGTAAGGCTCGAAAACATACGGAGGAGGTTGAGGTGCAAAAGGACCTTGTTCCCAGGCATGAAAACCTTCCCATCTCGGTGCTCCACAGGCTCCAGGAGAGGGTTAACCATCTCTGTAGCTTCAACAACCAGCTGCTAAAGCAGAATACTAATTGCAGCAGAGGAGAAGGGAGCTGGTCAACAGGCCATTCATTCATTCATTCAACATACAGTTTTTGAGTGCTGGTTATAATTCAGGCTGTGTCCTAGGTGCTGGAGAAACAAAGATGAATAAGCCCATACCCTCAAAAAGTTCCTTGATGTGGGGAGCCGGGGCCCTTGAGAGCAGACTAGGAGTGTAGGCCTTAAAAGAGGCAGCCTGAGAGTGAAAGTTGAAGGTGTCCAGACATTCAGATGAAGAGGGGAGGTTCCCTCAAGCAATGAGCACAGCAGATACAAAGACCCTGGAGCCCTGAGTCCACATGGGACTGGGCTTGTAAATAGGATTTGTAACCCTTCCATTAAAGAGCACTTGGGAAACTGATGGTCCTGTTGAGAAGGAGCAGTTTGCCCAAGGCAAAGGCAAAGACTATAATGTGGGGTGTAGAAAGCCATCCTCCTTCCATCTGACGGGTTCTTCTGCCAGAACCTGGCTTGGGTGCCAGGAAAGACTCTTAAAAGGACAGGGCTGTCCCTTTCAGGAGTATGTGACAAGGTTGTGGCGTCTCCTCGCTGAAAGAATGGAGATGACAGAGAACTGGGAATGAGGAAGTAGGTGGCCCAGGTGGCCCAGGAAGGCTTCCTAAGGAAGGTCACACACAAAGCATGAAAGGGGATCCAGCAGCAAAAAAAAAGGGGGGTGTCTCTGAAGGAGAGTCCTGCATGGGGCAGTGTAGTGACAAAGTGCCTCAGGGAGCCCCTGAGGGGCAAAAGCATCCTTTGTCCCTTTGCAATGTTGGAGGGCCTGGTGGTGAGCTGAGGACCTCAGAGAACAGAGCCTCGGTTGTGCAGCAGACCCAGAGTGGGGCTTCTAGACATGGAGGTAAAGGGGCCTGCCACCTGGGAAGGGGAACGGGGAGTTGTGAGCGTCATCTAGAGACAGCCGCCAAAGCAGTGAGATGGGGTGACACATTCCTGGGTGTTACGTACCTCTGACTCCAGGAGGATGCTGCGCTTCTCTTTGCTTCCCGTCTTTATCCCTTTTCCCTTGCTCATCTTCTGCTCAGGGATGGTTACCTCTGGGACCAGAAGAGGAGCCAGAATGCACAGAGCAGACCCCCCTGACACCACCCAAACTCCCCAGAGAAAGGAGCTTGGTAAGGCAGAGTCCCTGAACTTGGGAGGAACATAGGAACATCAGCAGTGAGCTCCCGTCTAGCTGGATGAATTCCTTTTCTGAGGACAGCCGTAGAGGCCTAGTCCTGAAAAATGGGGTAGTGGGTCACAATGTCTAGGCCAAGTGGAGGGTCACCCATCATTTCAAGGTGAGGAATAAACAAGGTCTGGGGAGAGATGTGAAAGAACAGCTCCTGGCAGACACAGCCAGGCCAAAACCAGGCTTCTGCACGCTGCCCAAGGCTCTTCTGTGTGGGGAAGATTCCCATAGAAGGGTGAGTGCTCACACTTACTCCCCTTGCCTGCCTTTGTGGCATCTTCTTTCTTAGGGGTTCCTTGTGTAGGGGACTGCCCGGGACCTGACTTCTCTTCCTTCTTTACAACTTCCTACGAAGGATATGAGAAGACTTAATGGCTATCCATCCTGCCTCCCACAGGAAGAGTGTATGAAGGCTGAGCCTGAGAGACACCTTCAAAGGCCAAATCCACTTGCCCATCTTTCTACCACCCTGTGTACCGTGGAAACTCCTCCCCTGCCCATTCAGGGCCAAGGTTTCCTTTCACCCAGCACACCTACCCCTGACTTCTCCTTTTTCTTGCCCAGACCCTTGGGTGTTTTTAATGTCTGCATCTTTTCTGGCTTGTCCACCAAAGTAACATTGCTGATGCCCGCCGTCTGAAACTTCTCACGTTCCGTCTTGGAGTCTCCGTGTCGGGAGGAGGAAGGCTGTACTCACAAATGGGGGCGGGGGGTGCAGAGAAGTAACCAAATCCTTGCCTTTCCCTACCTCTCTGCCTATCAATTGGTCTGGGACAGAGTTGCTGTTGGCAAGAAGGAGCCCAGAAATGGGTAAGAATGAGCTGGAGGCTCAGGTTTTCATCAGGAGGGGAAATCGCTCACTTTGAATTTATTTATCTTTGTTGTTATTTGTTTCAGGACTGGGGATCAAACCCAGTGCCTGTGTGTGGTAGGCAAGCACTCTGTGTACTGTACTATACCTCCAGACCTCGGTTTTATTGAGCCAGGGTCTTACTCTGTGGCTCAGGCTGTCCTTGAACTCATCTTTCATCTGCCTCCTTGCTGACAAGGTTTACATTATGCCCAGCCAGCAGCTTTTGTTGAGCTAAGTTCTAGGCAGTATTCCAAATGCTTTATAGTAACTCATTTAAATCATCTCAATTCTGTGAAGAAAGTAACAGTTACCCGGCCTAGTTGAGAAAAGTCAGACTCAGAGGTTAAGCAGTGAATTCAAGATCAGAAACTGCTGACGTGGTAGAGAGGATTTCAAGCCCAAGTGGTCTGAACAGTGTCTTTTAACTACACTTGTAACTGCCAGAGTGGCTGTGTAGTTAGAGCGCCAAGTTGGGCTTGGTAGGCGCGGGGGGGTCTCCAGAATCCAGAAGGGCAAGAGGGTGGAGGGAATTTGAGTCATGGGCAGCGGGCAGAAAAGCACCCTTCCTGGGACCAGGCCGCTCCTCACCGATCGCGAAGACCGCTCCTGCGTTCCTTTCTCCAAGAGCAGGCGCCGCCGCTCCACCACCTCCGTGTGGGTCAGCTCAAAGGGGCGCAGGACCTGAGGCAAGGCCAGCTCCCCACGTCAGACGCCTCCGTCTCAGCCCCTGCCCCTCCCGGCGGCGTGTACACCCACCTCAGCCAGCTTCAGTGCGCCCTTGTCCTGAATACGGTTGTGCGCCAGGGACAACCAGAGAAGAGAGCGATTCAGTCTCAGGCCCTGGAGAACAGAGAGCCCTGTAAGCCAAGGGCAAGCCAGCATCCCCAAGCCGTCTTGCCGCAGCACGCACATCTGCAATGTAGCCTGCTCCCTCGTCCCCGATGTGGTTGAATCCCAGGTTCAGCGAAACAAGGGTCCGGTTGCTGTTGTTCAGTGTGGACAGTGCCTGGCCTAGGAGCTGCGCCCCGTGGTCATTGATGCTGTTGTTCCTCAGAGATAAGTGAGAGATCCTGGGACGGGGAGAGAGGACCAGCGATACTGGGCTTGCTTCTATCTGATCTGTAGGTGGAGGGGCAGGGATCAAAGGAGCCTGGGGACCAGGAGAGGGGAAGACTAAAGATAACCTCAAGTGGGGGTAAGCCAAGACAGGAAAGTGAAGGCAAGGAGTCTCACGTGCTGTCCAGTCCCATGAGCTTGTAATAGGATTGCTCCGGTAGTGGGTTCCCCTCCAGAGACACCTTCCTGAGAGTGAGAGGGGTCTGAGGTCTAGGAATCACCACTGAGGCCATGCAAGGCGGAGGGGAACAGAGTGGAAGTGTGGACCTTTGGGGAACATCTAGAAAACAGAGCCTAAGGATATCCCCCAATATAGGAAGTATATCTATGATAATTCCCCAGACTCAAATTCCAGAAGCATGACCGTGTGAGGGGCCAGTTCCCTGAGCTGACCTGTAGTACAGTGGTCTCTAAGATGGCCTTCACTGAGTCCTGCGTCTGGGTACTCAGGCCCTGTGCCATGGACTCCTGTCCTCTGCAGTGTAGCTAGAACTAGTGACAGTTCTTTGTGTGTTTGCGTTTGGTTTTTTGTTTTTGTTTTTTTCCAGATAAGATTTCTCTGTGTAGCCCTGGCTGCCCTGGAACTCCCACTATAGATCAGGCTGGCCTCGAACTCACAGAGATCCGCTTGCCTCTGCCTCCCGAGTGCTGGGATTAAAGGCGTGCGCCACCACCTGTCTCTCCTGGTTGTTTTAAACCGCTACATTTTGGAGTTACTTTGTTACATAGTAATAAATCACTACAGGACCCTCTATGAGACAGTAGCTTCTCTCACAGTCCTAAGAAAATGAACCAATGGGTGGAAACTTCTCTAATATTTCACATTGTATCCAATTCTTGCTCAGCCTTTTGGACTGCCTTGTTTCATATAAACAATTCATTTTACATCATCTTACACTGATGTAGCTGGTTCTTATGTTAATGAATTCACAGTTCTTTTTCTATTAGCTCGTTTGTCTCTACTTTCCCAGCTAAAGATCCAGCCCCTGCGCTCAGGGAGCATCCATCCGATACACAGAAGGAAAGCCCACATGGGTAGTAGCACTGAGGGCCACTAATTATGAAGCAAGAGTGTTGACTCTAGGGGCCTGTAGGAACCTGAAAAGGGACAGACAGCTCAGGTGGCTTTGTCCTTTGTACAGCAAGCTGCAATTGTAGTAGGCTGTCTTAAACCTGGCTCTGCCTCCTACCCATCCTACCCATCCACCCCACGATTCCCAGAAGGCTGGCTTAGCACAGGTCTTCCTGCACAGACTCATGTGGTGGGCAGCACGCCCTTTTGTGTGAGCCATTCCTCCACATCCACATCCCCACACTGCTGCAAAGCAGTGTCTGTTCCTGGGCCTTAGGCCCTTGGCTCCCTGCTCGCTGTACTGGGCCATTAAACAGGGCTGATGGAGCGGAAAGAGGGGTTAGACCTCAGAGGGCTCTGTGGATGCCGCATGGACTAAAACCGTGGTCTCAGGTGTGAATCCCACCACCCAGCAGACACAGGCTGAGCCCCATTTCCACACAGGTGCCAGCCTAGGCCTACAAATGGGACTTGCTAACTCTGCAGGCAACTACTTCCCCCTCATACACCCCAGCCAGGCCAATTAGACACTGGGGCCTGACCACAACTGACCTGAGTGTGGAGGAACAGAGAGGCAAAAGGGCGATGAACGTGGTCAGGGTCTTATCCGTCAGCCCCACCTTCCACAAGCTGGTTTTAGAAACAGAAACAGCTGGGCACCACCTCATTAGGAAGCCCCTTCCCACAGTCCCCCAGGCACACCCTCCACCCTCCCCAGCTGAACTTTCTCTCCTCTCTCTCTCCCCACCCCTCTCTTCCCCCTCCCTCCTCCTCCCCCCCTCCTCCCCCAGAGGCTGACCTCCCACAGTGCCTCTCACTTGATAGCTTGCAGCTGGCTGAGGGAGGGCAGACATTTGGAGAAAATACCCAGAATCCGATCCTCAAGTTTCCAACCTAAGGAAAGGCCAAAGGCATCTCAGGCCTGGGAAGGGCCTGATGTGAACTGCCGTGAGCCAAGTAGTGGGAGGTGATGCTCGAGGGGGATGGGGAGGGCTGGGGGAGGGTGGGGCGGGCGGGCGGCGCTCACCTCGGATGTAGATCTCCTTCACCGCCTTGCTGTCCTCCTGCTCTACCTCCACCTGAATGGTGGGCCGGAAGAACACGTATTTGCTCTCCAGGCTGTTCTGGCTGCAGGATGCTGACAGCCGCTGGTCGTCTTAGAAGACAGGGTAGAGTGGGAAGGCGCCCCACGGCTGTGGCTCCAGGGTAGAGTGGGAAGGCGCCCCACGGCTGTGGCCCGCCCCACCCCACCCCGTGAATGAGTCGGGCGGGCTATGGCTCACCTTGGGTGGGTTTTTCTGACATGGAGGCGGAAAGGACAAAGTTCTGGTTGGGCCGAGGCCGGGTGACCACTTTGGGGAAGTCGGTGTAGCCTGACCGTACGCAGAGCTCGGCGAAGTCTGTCTCCAGGACCCCGGAGCACTGGTACTCCTCTGCGGGGGCGGCAGCAGAGTGAGCCCGCACTCCGCGCCGCAGCAGGGACCCCCACGCTCACAGCAGCCCCCCGTGGAAGCTACTTTGCTAAGACCCACGCTGAAGACACTGGAGGAAGGCGAGCGCTCGCAGAAGAGGGCTGCGCCTAGCCAGCAGGGCTGCTGGCCTGTCAACACTTTCTTTTATATAGTATTTGCTAGTCAGTGGCCCCGGGCTTGTAAAGGTTCTGAAAATACCATTGCCTTGATAAGTTGGTCATTCAGTCTTGCCCCACCGCCTGCTACCCTGAGGCTCTGCAGAGCTGGTGTCTGACACCCCCAAGAGACCTCTGCCCCGGGAGGGTTCCTGGAAATGGGAAATTCCCGCCAACCACCACCAACCCCACAGCAGCGCCAGGCCACCAGCAGGGGGCACTGTCAGCTGCGCCTGGCCGCCTACGTCTGTGCAGTAGGGAGCCTGGTCCCAGGTTCCCCGGGAGACTCCATGACACAGAACGCCCTTTGAGGAACAGGGTAAGAGGAGCTTTGCTCCTGTCCCCAGCTGCCAATGGGAACTCGGGCACATGGGAAATGTTCAACCAGTTAGTCCGATTTACCGATTTAACGGTAGGAGAGCCGGGGAAGTTGGGTGGCCCCTGCACAGCCCTGTGCATGCTCAGGCTGGCTCTCCTCTGTTGGGTGTGCCCCTCACCCTTCATGGCATCACTCACCTCTCAAGAGCAGAGTCCCTCAAACTTTAACATCCATAGAAATCACCTGAAGTCTTAAAGCACCCTCCTGGGCCCATGCCCAGACTCTCACAGTTCTCTTTCCTGTGGGGAGCATCTAAAGGAACGTACTCCTGCCCTCCATTCCCACACCAATGCTAAATGGCCCCACTCACAGTTTGAGAAATGGGCCATCAGATGGAGTTTCCTCTAAATCTACACACCCACGTCCGCCCCTGCCAGGCCATACGATGGCAACCGTAAAAGCCTCTGTGCCCTCCACATTGCCCACATTGTCCAGGGTCCCTTGAGTTCTCCCCTGCATCTGCCAAGGCTGCCTAGGCCGTCCTTGCCAGAGCCTTCTTTGCATCTCTTCAGGCAGACTTCTGACCCATCTCGGGGAGTCTCAGGTTTGCGAATCCCAACGCCCTAGCAGTTCCCAATGCCATGTCACCCTGCCATTCCTCTTTACTGCTGAGCCTCACTCCTCCAGGCCCACCCTTGCATAGTCCTCCTTCCGACTTTCTTCCCGTCCATCTCCACCCAGCTAGCATCCCAGGCTAGAAACCTGGGACTCGGTCATGCTGTGCCCCTCACCGCCTCTCTCTCTCTCTCTCTCTCTCTCTCTCTCTCTCTCTCTCTCTCTCTCTCTCTCCAGTCCTTCACCAACTCACTTCTACCTCCCAGGAGTCTCCCCCCACCCTCTTGCACCCTCACTGTCCGGTGCCAACTACCCCTGTCCCTGGACTAGGCTACTCAGTCACAGCTCCGCTCCCTGCTGCCCGTCTCTCTGCTTCCTCGCTTCTCCGTGCACTGCCAGTGTTGTTCTTCCCTGTCACCTCCTGGAGATACAGTCTTGCTTTGTATACAGCCCAAGTTTTCTGAGGAAAACTGCCTCAGCATCCCAAGTGCTGGGGTTACAAGTGTGCACCCTTTATGTGCCCAGGGAACTCAACCCTATCTTCTCTTCCCTGTGAAAGATGCTTTTTGTCCAGGTCTTCATAATCCACCTGTTCCTGGCCACTAGTAGGGACAGGGAAATGGCACCTGGCAAAGGGTGGACCATCAGAGTCTTCCCTCAGGTTGTTTTATCTCCATTCCAGGGACAGCAGGGTCCTGACCCTCTTTGGTAACAAAAGCATCAAATTAGTATCAAGACACCCTCTGACAAATTCCCTTTTGCGCTTCATTGGTGAAAATTGGGTTCTGGCACTTGCAACAAGAAAAGCCATAGCCCTATTCATCTAACTTTAATGGTTTCTTTAAATATGCCGAAGCAGAACTGTGCCCATGGCCACAGGGCAGATACTCAAAAAGTAACTGTTGTCTAAATGAGTATCTAGAGAGCTCTGTTCAAGACCCCGCTCACAGCACCATGGGATCTTCCCACCCCTAACCGGGTCTTCTTTGGCATCTCTTATCCCATCTTACTGTGTGTGTCAGCAAACCCGGGGAAATGTGTATTCTTTAAAGCCAGCCCCTGAGGAGATCCACCTTTGATCTCAGCGGAGATATAATTCTGAGTTCTGGACCAGCCTAATCTATATAGCAAGTTCCAGACCAGATTTGATTTAATAATAATAATAATAATAATAATAATAATAATAATAATGCTGCCAAGCTCTGGGGCTCTGATTAACCCGACCCTGGCCCTGCCAACATACCGGGATTTTTCGGTTCCTCCTCGCCCAACGGAGGCAGGGCAGTTGCTGGCTTCTCCTTAGCGGCCCGGTCCCCCTTCTTGGTTATCGCACCGGATGACTTCTGGGCCCCAGGACGCGGTGTCCTAGGTGAGGTCCCTGGAGCGCTCGGCTCAGTTGACATACTGGTGGTTCTGGACCCCTCAAGTGAGAGGGAAGATGAGGCAGGGCTCTGCGGGCCGCACCCTGGAGATCTCCACTCACCAGATCCAACTGGCCAGAAACCGCGGGATCTGCGAGTCCCCTCTCCAGGACAACCGAGCTCGGTTGGGTGGCGCTGCTGCGGCCCCAGCAACGGCAAAGAGTGCACGTGATGGGCGCCTGATGGCCCTGGGCCGGAGCGAGTGGGCGTGGTTTGGTACTGTTGGGGTCCATGTGAACCGAAAGGCTCAGGCAGCCTAGGATCCATGCGGAGCCCTGACAGGGTGGGTCTAGGGCAGAGTGGGCCTAGGGCAGAGTGGGCAGGCACCTAACAGTCCCTACTCACGGAGCTGTGGGCAGGAGGGGCGACACTGAGCAGGGAGGTGGTAGTGGTTGGAGAACATTCAGAAGGGGAGCTCAGGTTCATTCTCTAGAGAGGGTCCCTAGTGGTAAGGGCCCAAGCAAGCTGTTCAGACTGACACTGAGTTCTCTCCTCTACCAGCTCTATTCAGCCTACTGGAGGACTGGGGACCCAGTCTGATAATGATTTGATCCAGGAGGTCCCCTCCTTACCACTTTGCTATCCCGGGCTCTTTTGAGTTGCTTTGCTTCCTCTAGCCTGGCACCCCATTCAGTGCCGGCCGCTTCATGGCCCCCAGCACTGAATTCAAACACTGATGCGCTGCTCCCTGCAGAGAAGCTACTTCTGAGATCTCCAAACGAGGCTCTGAGGGGCACTGAGAACGCAGGAACTGGTATTTACCACAGGTATCATTGGTACTATCACTCAGCCACTCAGCTTTGAAAGGAACATTTATTGACTGCCATGTGCCAAGGGAAACCAACAGTGAGCATAAACACGGAGTCCTGCATCCAGGGAGCTTGCGGTCCACCTCCCTGCTAGGGGGAGGCAGAGGGGCTGATCTAGGACCGTGGAGATCACATCAGAGTGCAGCCTGAGTTAGCAGTTGGCCCATGCCTTTCAACCCAGCACTCAGGAGGCAGAGGCAGGCAGACCTCTGAGTTCAAGACCCGCCTGATCTACAAAGTAGAGCTCCAGGAGAGCCAGGGCTGCATAGGGAGACAATGTCTCAAAAACAAACTAATAAAACAAATCCAAGTCCTGCCTGGTACCACCCCTGCCTTCTTCTGCAGGTGCACGGAGAAGAAACAGTAGCTACAAAGGAAGAGATGTGGGGTGGAGTAGGGACTCTGTGGGATGCCTGAAGGACAAGCAGGAGTCAACAGGTAACCCAGGAAGGCTGAACTCAGATGTGCCAGTCCCTGGGGGAGGAAGAAGGATGGCAGATAGCCTTCTCTCCAGAAAAGAGTAGAACGGGACAGAAGAGGTAGACTGCAGGGCCACTGAGGCCTGGGAAATTTGACTGTGTAGCCCAAGGAGTACCAGGAGGATGGACCACACAGGCAGGGAGCAACCCTCCGAGCAAAAACCTGGAGGATTACCACACGAAGGGTGGCAGGTAGTAAGGGCCTGCTGTTGGAGCTAGTTAAGCTTGGAGGCTGGCCGCCTGGGAAGTGCGCAAGGCAGAACCTGTGCCTGGCACCCTCTGAAGTCCACTAGACACACACACAGCCCCGCCTGGGTACATACACAGAAAAGGTACCCAACACATACTTTTAAAATCCATCTAAAATCAGACTTATATACAACAACATTCAGCCCAGCAACCATGTCCACAGAGCCTTGGGGACTCGAACAGTGGGCTGGAGAAAGGGAGCTGGACAGTTGGCCAACCAGTGTCTCCCTTGGTGGAAGCATCTCTCCGTTCACTTCGTCAAATGTGCTTCTTCACGGCCTGCTGGTCCAGTCCCTGCTCCCGGCAGGGTCTGCGGGCACTATCCCATCCCACGCTGGCTCCTCAGCGGTCTTGGCGCCGAGGCGGAGGTGATGGAGGATGCCGTACCGGAGGCAAGTCATAGTGTCCAGGGATGTGGCTGTTCTTGGGTGAGTCATAGTGGCCAGGAGGCAGGCCTGGAGGAAGAGGGGGCATGGAGCCCCCAGACTCTTGATCTGAAGACAGAGAGGACAGGATGAGGTGACTCCTCCACCTCCCCCGGCTTCTCCTCCTACTCCAGGCTCTTTCTACCCACAGAGAGGTGAATGGCAATGCACGTACGTGGGCTGGCTGGGCCAAGCGCCTGCATGGACGACTCTGAGCAAAGCCCTCCGCTTCCCAGCCACCCCCACATGTCCACCTCAAAGGATGTGAGGATGCTGTCCCACAACTTGGTCTCCACTTTCCTGGATGCTAATTCTACCCCTCTGGTGCTATACAAGCACCATCTCAAATGCTCAACCTCGGGTGAGGAACAGACCGGAAGAAGCAGGGCAACGCCCCCAGTGTCCTGCCTGGTTTGAGACCAAACCGCCCAAAGGCCTTGCCCTTGCCGTATCATGCCACTGTTTCCGTCTCTCCCCTGCCCTTCTCCTTTCCGACTTCCCATGTGCCAGGGCCCTGCAGCCCCTGCTGGGGGCAGGGGGTGCTCACTATGGCTCAAGGGGGTGGGCTGCTCATAGGTGCCACTGTCCCTCTGTGGCTGCCGTTGGCGCCGCTGGCTGTCCCGGAGATGAAGAGGCTGCCTGGGAGGAGACACTGATGGAGGGCCCTTCATCTCCACATAGCTGCTCTCCCGAGGTTCCCCAGGCAGGCCCGGCAGATCTCTGATGGTAGCATAGGGGTTCTCGGTGCTCAGGGACAGAACGCTTGCCCCCAGCCCCTCTTCAGAGGTGGGACCTGAGGGTCAAGGAAGGAAATCAGGCTCCTTGGAGGCCCTGGCTCCCTGACCCAGCTTCCCTTCCCCTCCCTGTCCCTCTACTCGTACCTTTATGACAGAATGGTCCCGGGCCATTCCTGTGGCCATAGCTGCAGCTATAACTTCGGTCCAGGTGGCTGGAGCCTGAGGGAAGGCAGAGAGGACAGACCTCTGGTCCCTTCTCAGGCCTCTTCTGGAACTAGGCTCTTCCCCCATCCCAACCCCATCAAGACGACCCAGCAGGGGAGGCTGCACACGTCCACCTCCTCAGCCTCTGCCTCCAAGAGCCTACCTCTGTCATGGGGTTCTCGTCTGTGCTTCCAGTCAGCGGGCAGAGTAGCATGGTTATCACGCCCATGGGCTCTGCCTGGCCGCTCGGGTGCCTGGGAGCCGACAAAGAGCTGACCGCCTGGGACCTGATGGGGGACGATGGGGGCTCAGGGAGGGAGGGCACAGGCGCAGGGTCGAGGCTTTCCTGAGAAATGAGATGCCCCCCCCACCTGCAGAGCACCCCCCCCCTCAATGCACTGACCTTGTTAGGGGGTGGGGGGTTGGGAGAGCACTGAGACAGAGTGTGGTAGCTAGGGTTGGAGTAGTAGTGACTGTAGCTCGGAGAGACATCTGCAGGACAAACACGGGTACCGAGTAGCTCAGAGACAGGCGGAGGCCAGGACCACTGCCGGCTGGCCTCCCTGGCTCCTTCCATTCTTCCACCCCACACCCCCTGGGGGAAGCGTCAGCCACACCCCACTGCCCATCGCTCACTTCAGCCCCGCCCCCGCTCACCTGGCATGACATAATCCGAGCCATCCAGCCGCCCAGAGCTGTAAGCCACTGCCAGGTGCTCGTGCTCTTTGCCCTTTTGCCAATGGCGGTAGCCAATGAACAGCGCTACCAGGGCCACCACAAGGGTGCCCAGTACTGCAATGCCAATCACTGCACCCAGTGAGTTATGGATCACAGGAGAGGTGGGCATTATGGTGGAGGACTCCTGGCTTCCTGTGAGATAAAGCAGGCACCGAGATAGGCAATTTTGTTCTGCTAGTGAACGTGGGTGCACTTCAAGGAAGGCAGAGGTGGTATGGGGACCCTGCGTCACAGAACCTTGGAGGGTCACAGAGTCCAAGAACTCACCTATCTTGCAGGGTGCACCACTGTGTCCTGGGGGACAGACACAGGCCCCAGTCTCTGGGTGGCACCTCTCTCCAGGACCACACTGGCATGGCTGGGAGCAGTTGGCACCAAACACTCCTGGTGGGCAGCCTGGACAGAGCCAAGGAGGCAAGGAGGGGGTCACAGAGCCGGCAAACTGCAGCCTCCTCTTGGATAAGGGCTACGGTGTATTCAGGGACTTAGTTCTCCATCGCGGTACCTTCCAGGCAGTAGGGTCCAGTCCAGCCTGGGGTGCAGGCACAGCTCCCGTCCTGGGGGTGGCAGGTTCCGCCATGATGACACTGGCAGGCTTGGGAGCATTTGAGTCCCCAATGGCCTGGGGGACACGCTACAAGAGACAAGGGGATGTCAGGCAGGGCGGGGCCACCCCCTCTGCATGAACTCTCAGTCCTCAGTACCTCTGAAGTCTCCAGCTTGGCCTTTTCTTGGGGACACCAAGGCTCTGAGGGGCATCTACACTCTGATGACTCAGATGTTCATTTCCAGCCGTCTTGACCCACCCTGACCCACCCACTTGACATCTGCTCTCGAATCCCTACCGGCCATTTCAAAATAATGTACCCAGTGCTGGGGAACCAGAAACTTCCCAACATCCCCTGGGGGGGCTCAGCACGGGGCTTGTTTGTTTCTCTTTTCAAATATCTGTCTCCTACCTGGGTACTGGGATTACAGCCTAATATGTTATCTGTGTGTGTGATCCTAGCAAATAGATTATAGTAGACACTACTGAATTCTCTGCAGAAAACAACCACACAAAGACTGGCCCAGAGCACTTCCTTTACGCCCTGACTGCGGAAGTGCGGTCTCTGGACCGCCACTTCTCCCTTCAAAACTTGCTTCTGCTGCCTAGACGAGTCGGCCCTTTATCATCGTATAGTTATGTGGGAGACAGATATAAAACAGCCATGGCTGCCGGGGGAGGGAGACCCATGTTCCAGTCAATAGCCCCATGCCCACACAGGCCAACAAACT